TTAGGATTTAGTATGAATTTTCTGTTGCCACACTTTTTGGCAGCGACAGTTTTAAATGGACTTTTCTATTGCCACTCACTTTGGCAGCGACTGGATAGGTATTCAAGGAAATGGTTAAGTGTTAATTTCTAGGCAAAATATATTTCAGAATTTTAAAGGTATATTACCTTTATTTCGAGAGATTTCCTTATTACAACTGTTAAATTGAAATTAGATTTTGAATAAAACAAAAGTTTGAAAATTAAATATCGTTAATGAAACTAAACCGAAGTTGAGCGATAAAGAGAGATAAGGTTTGAAAAACCTTAAGCTTAAAAAGATCACCGTGACATTTTTTCACGCCTATTTATACTCAAGTAGAGAGAACCCCACGCGTGTGCTTCTCTACTTAGTGGAGGTAGAAGGTCTTGTCTCTGTAATTCTATGCCTGTAAGGCCCGCGGCTTGGCAACAGCGTCGTCTGGTACCATCAGAAATTGGATAAATAATCAATATATTGCTCTACTGATAATTACATTCCTGGCTACTGAAAGATTCTAAATTTAAATTTTGTCCGCTCGTAACAATATTCCAAAGAGTTTTAATTAAAAATTTACACACTTAATTCGTTTTACTAGGAGTCTCTCATGGCGACGACGTATTCTACGTATTAAATACTCCCTGGGTAAACCCAACAACAACGCAAAAGGATCGCGATATGCAGAAACAATTAATTGACTTTTGGGTATTGTTTGCTACGGAAGGGTAAGCATGAAACTGCACATGAAATGAATTGAACGTAAAATCACATAACACAAATACTAATTCTTCACATTTTTTCAGAATTCCAAAAGTAGCCAATGTGGAATGGCCAAGATTAGATTCTTTAAGAAAAGAACTTCATTATTTACATATAGCTAGTCCTGATCAAATTAACATGGACAGCAATGCTAATCTTGGAGAGAAAGAATTCTGGAATTCGATTAATTTCAATGAGAATATATTGAAGCACAAAACTGGAATTAATAAAGAAGAGCTTTAAATAGTATTAAAACAAAATATCAACGTTTTTTTTTAAACTAGAGAGATTTAACTTAGGATAAGACTTAAATTTAATATTTGCTCAGTTTTATACATTATATCAAATTGAAATTGTTTATTATTTTCGACAACAATTAACAACCAATGTAATGAAACAAATTTATAACGTTTCGACCCTTAGGATTGGGTCTTTAAGTAATCTGATAACAAACAATTCGAATAACAATGATTTGGTCAACGTGATAAAATAAATTGTCAAAGATATAAAAAGCGTTAAATATCAATTCTTTGTCCCGACTTACACATCTGGTGTTTATGGAAATTTTAACAGAAAAATTCACAAGTTTACCACTGATAAACAAACTGATAAAGCGAGGTTTGAAAGCGTATTTAAACCTCGGAATTAAAACAGAGACAATGAAATCGGTTCTTTACATATAATAAGTCGGTGATGACCATGGAAACATCCTATCTGTAGAGTGTGATCACCGCGAAGAGGCGCTATCATTAACGAGCACCGGAGAATTTCAAATACCATCACGGAACGACGACACGCGCGCGCTCACATGCCGGAGCTAAAAGATGTACTGTACAACAGTATATCTCTTGTTTTTTCCAGCGGGAAACTTGTGAATTTTTCTTCAAATTTTAAATGCGAGAAACAGATCCCATTGAATGCCATCTATCGGATACTTTGAGATGCAATATTCTGATCTGGGCACGTATTACGGACTTGTTCGGAATGGATTCCGATCGGAATTATTCCGTTTTCCCTAGAAAAGACAATAAAAATCTAGGAAATAACTGAACAATTCCGATCGGAATCCATTTCGAACAAGTCCATAATAGATCCCCTAATCATATATAATCTTATATAATTATACATATAAGTTCATATATGATTATATTATTTTCAATTTAAATTATAAGGCATGTCTGCAAAATAATACGATTAATATATTTATTTATAAGAACTATAATAAGTATGTATTATATAACAGTTATTTTCACGAATTATTGCAGGTAATTTTACTGTTTACGAAAATATTTAATAAAATTAATGTCAATTAAAAAAAAATTAAGTATCTTATGCAAAATTAGACAAAAAAAAAAGAAAACTTAAAATAACATAAGCAATGAGAAGTGCCGTTTTCGGTCGAAGCGGATTTGAAAGAAGCGAAATACATATCTATAAATTATCGTTTCAATTATTATTTCCTTACTTACTGACATCGTGATTTTGAATATTAATTAGAAACAAACAGAACATGAACAATGATTTTCCCCTTCTCAGAATCTTTTTAATTACACAAAATATACAAAATTTGTTTTCAAAGAAAATCGATCGAAGAGGGTGCCATTTATACTACATATTTACTAAAATTTATTTTGTTGTTATTGCAAAACGTTTGGAATTTTGTAATTCGAGGAATAAATCACATTTATATCTGAACGCACCGTGATCCGCGTTGTGACCCTTACAGTCCTTTCTACTTATATTTTTATGTCATGTGTTTTATATATATATACTCCAAATATACTTCCGTTTTGGTTGGAATCGACTAAATATTACTTCCAAAAATCTAAGGAAATGATTCATTTTAACATTATATATACATATATATATATATACTAGCTGGTTACCCGGGCTTCGCTCCGGAGGACATATATAATCAGACACGC